ATATCAATCTCTCGTTTTTAAAGAATATCATGTGGCGATCTTATAAGTTTTTTGTGTCTGTTACATTTTTAAATATTATTTCTTCTGCTTTTACTGTTTTTATATGAATCTTTGTAATGTAATGTATGAAAGTATCTTTGTAAATTCAAAGAAATGAACGGCAATTTTCTTATTCAGTCGTAGATTCCTTGAAAATCGCAACGACAACAATCATTAACAGAATAGTTGGCGAGATTGAATATATGAATCATCGATATATTCAACTACAGATATTAACAGCGCACAAAAATAAAGTTCGAATGTTAAAATTGTAGAATACTTTTTACATGCGTTGAAATTCTCAAAGAAAAAATGTAACAAACTTACGGTCTTCAAACCGAAGAAAACCATTTTAAACTATTTCTGGAAAAAATATGTAGATGATGATAAGAATCAGTTAATTAAAAATGCATAAAAAATCGATTAAGAGATAAAGAATAAAGAACTAAATCCACATTGTTAAAAAATCTCGATATAATCATTAAAAAAAATTTATTTGTATTAGTGCAATATTGACAGCGTGATAATAGCCCTAAACTCCATAATAACAACAAAATGGGCACTAATTTTAGAATTTTCTACACTGATAGAAAGTTTTTTATAAACATGTATGTTGTTAATGGAATACAAAAAAAAATAAAGGTTATATTTTTTAATTTTCAGCAATCATCTGGTGTAACGAGAAACCAGTTGTAAAGTTCTTTAAAAAAAAGATATTTCTAAATGAATTAATTCTTAAAAACGAAGACCAAAAACAAAACAGTATTCTTAAAGTAAGGAAAAATGTCTTAGAATTTAAAGATAGAAGGAAATATACAGAAATCATTGTAGAAACCGTAGGAAATCGATTTCAAACTGTAGATGTCATATTAAAAGATTATCTTTTGGACCAAAATTATAATTATTTACAACAGAATGGAAAAAATCATTTCTACTTTTATCATTAAATCAGAAGATAATTTGTAAATATAAATGTGGATATAATGATATTATTGTCAGCGTCGTCCAATATAAAATACATACGTATGAATTGTAAAGATTTTATTTTATAAATTTTTTGCTGATCACGGAGGTAATGCGAAAAAATCGAATAAAATACATACAAATATAATAGAAAGATGTAGAAAATTTATTTAAAAAACAGGAAAATGGAAAAAGAAATAAAAAGTCAATTTCTTGTATATTCAAAATTATGTCAACCAATGAAAGCATTCATAAGTGAAAAATATCGTTAATTATAGGTTTAGGGAGAATTTATAGTACAATTTGGAAATTATATTGTTAGCGTTCTTTTTATAGGATTTTGAATGTTTCTGCCTTCCGTTTTTTGGAATTTCATTGTTTATATCAATATTTTTAGAAAATTTCTTAAATAAAAACAGTTTAGATAAATTCAAATAAAAAACAACAATAACATCGTGGTCAATTTCGTAAAAATCATTATTCGCAAACACATTTTTGAAAATAATCAAAATTTGTCAAAATGAAAACCTTTTTTACCATTACCATTGTTATAAAAACATAATTTGCACTTTTAGAATGTGTAGGAGCTAAATCGGACAGGGTGCAACCCCCTCCCTATTGTACGAGACACTCGAACCAAAAAATAATAACAACGTAAGAACAACTTTGATAAACAGGACATTCTGTACATTAAAAACTTATATTATTAATTTTTTATCGTCAACCATCATCTCGGTGTGTTCTTTTTTTTTTAAGGTATAAATCACGATTTTTTTTTCATCTATTGTTGGACCGGTATTTAAAATTTCATTTTATTTACAACGCAGCAGCTTCTTTGCCTATAATTTATAATACATAGCTGCTCGTTTTTTGGGCAACTTTATCACTCTTATTTACTTCTTATGTACAACAACATATACAGAATAATCGGGTGGAGGAACATTCGCGACAACTACCCCAATATCATATCTACTTCGAATTTAAACGGTACTCCTCTCGGTACTTTTGGCCAAAATCGGCCGAAAAATATTCATAAATGAATCGCATATTTATTCAAATTGAAGCATTTTGAACAAAACGGTTTTGTTATAATGAAAAAATGAGCACTATTTTCAATATGAACTATACTACTGATGATCATACTTTTTAGTTGAAAACGTCTTTTTTTTTTCGTTTGATTTTTACTACAAAAATCGTTGACACTCACACAACAACTTACAACATACAACACAATGAAATACCTTTTTAAAAAGTTTTATAAAATGTCTTTGTAAAATTGCTCAAATTATGATATGAAACACATTCAGTAGCCACAAAAACATCAAAAAATCGTCAACAGTGAAAACAAGGGGGAACAAGTTAGGATGGATCATATATCCGTGCAGAAAAATTAGAAAATAGCAACATACTATAAAATATAGACGAGAAAGACACAAATTTGCTTAGATCAATAAGGAAATCAGACCATTGGTGTCGATGGTATAAAAAGGGTAAAATAACCTTTGAATTGATCATCGTTATCAAAGAATACAAATACTTTAGACGTCAGGCCAATTCTAAACAATTTTGTTTAGCTAATGGATCAAGTCCACCGTTAAAAAAAGTGCCAGCTCAATCACAAATACGTTACAGAAAAGATTTGATTTCAGTATAGTGCCTCCACTATTCGCTTATACATATTTCGTCCTTTCAGGATTCTTCAGAGCGACTATGCACAGGACACTAAACGTGAAATCAAATATGTTCTCTCAAAAAAGGGTAATAGTAAAATAACTTCATATAGACATTACGGCGCCATTTAAAAATTAAAACAAAAAGTCGAAGTCCGAAAATTTCTTAGTTTTTGAAACCAAAATTTACATTATTGCTTAATTCTGTGACTTTTACATTTTCAAATCAAAACAGACCATGAATGAAATTAATTAATACTGAAGTCTGAAGATACAATTATTATTAGTAGAACACTCATTAAAATCGAAATAATGTCATTAAGCAAAAAGATAAATTTAACAAAAAAAAAGAAAATAACTTGAAAATTGAATTTGACACTAAGCAGAAAAACTAATGAATCAAACTATTTGACTATTGGAACACATTGGGAGAAAATGTAAGGTCTTTTGTTGGAGATTAAATAATTTCAAAAAAAAAATCAATTCCTTGTTATCTAAACAGAGACCAACATATGTATGTAGGTATTTATCCAGCACACTGAAACAGCAGAGTACAGACAAGATCTGAAATTTGGTACAAAATTATTAAATAAAAAATTTAAAAGAATTATGTCATTATCACTTAAGAATTATAAACAAAACAGATTTTTTGTATTGTGGCTTTAGCACCTTAGCCAGACAAACTAAAAAGGTGACTTAACTGTTGATCATATAAAATATATTGGGTAAAGACGAAATATAAAGAGATTCAATGATATTTAAAAAAAATAATATTAAATCTTCGAATGGATTACCTATGACAAGAAAAAAACACTTACATGTTTCAAGAAGCTTCCTAAGATATTAAATATTGATAGAATTTGAAATAATTTTATTAACAGCAAGAAGAAACTTGGAAAGATAAGAAAGGGGTAAGAAAAAAAAATTTAGGAATATATGCAATGGGTTTACACGAATCTAAAGACCTAACATTTTTAAAATGAATGCAAGAAAATTATTACCAAATGAACATTGACTCTCAAAATTACAAATATATGAAGTCAAAAAGCACATCTGAGCACGTACTAGGAAACAAATCTACCAATTATTGCAATTATTGTTCAAAGAATTCTTTTCTTTGAAGGCAGAACCTTTACTAAAAACCATGGGACTAATTGTATGTTTGTAATATGAGACACAACACAGTCTGAGACAAGTACTAACCAAAATAAATCAATTGTCTAGATAGCTATAATGAGTTTTAACAAACCAATTAACATTAAACATAAACAATTACTGCAATAAGCAGATTATAAAGTGAGAAGCATTTTAAGTTTGTAATTTGATCAAATTTGAAGATAAAAATAAAAAAATGTAATTACTTTTCTTAGTTTATTTAAGAAATGTATTACTTTTGCCAAAAATAGATAACAGTATTGTATATCTAGTAGAAACCTATGTAAAAATTACCCTAAGGCGTACGGATTAAATAAAAGAATATGATTGAAAAAAGAAAACTTGAAATATTACCAAACAAAACTTAAAATCCAAAAATAAAAATTAATTAGTTAAAAAATACAAGTTCTGTAGTTCTAAAAATCGGTCTAAAGTATGTTTCAAATGCAAATTCATAAAAAAATCGTGGAATAAAGTACGAAAAAACTGACGTAAGTAAATGTTTCCTAACGAAAGTTTAAAAATCAGTCGAAAGTATGTTTTCAAATGCAAATTCATAAAAAATACTTGAAAAAAAGTACGAAAATGTTTCCTAACGAAACATATATTGTTGATATTTAAAAATGAGAATGAATGCTCACTGTTTCATTTAAAATAACATACGCAACTAATTTGCTAAATAAAATAACCCTTCTCCGCATCGTACAAGGGTTAAAAGAATAGTACAATGTGATCAGCGGAGCGTAAGCTATTTTGAATCATTTTCCAAATCACCGACTGTTTGTGTTTGTAAATAAAAAATATGCGATTCTAAAGGATAAAAAGAATAATGTACAAATCTTACGTTTTATTTGAAGCAGTTGTTGAGGATATTCTGTAGTTGGTCGCATGTTCCTGAAACCGATAATAACCACATTCCTTCTAGTCTAAAAGGTAGGTACTCACTCTCACTGTACAGTGTATTTATAATTTAGTTATAACAGTCTAGACGTCCAACGTTTGAAATTCCACTAGGACCTCCTCAACGACTCGGAAGTAGGACTTCAGCCATGGCTTGAGGTAGCGTGAAGAAAGTTTGAGATGCCGACGGAAACCGGCGACAGGCGCATCTTATGGGACAGAATATCACTAGCCGTTGTCACTGTGAAGTAAAGAGGCCCAGTGGGCTGGATGCTAGTGGGCCGTCAACTGATGGCCCATACTTTGGGGAGATAACATGGGAGGACTATGGGAATGTGAGTGCTGGCCCATCGGGGAGCCGTGCATATCTTGGTGGTGGCCGTAGCTGGGATGCATGTGGCTTCCAGGAGGCATACCGTCCATCATGTCGCCGCCTAACGTATTCGGTGGCGTCATTCTCTTCTCCTTTTGTCTCCTATTGCAAAACCAAACCCGAACGACTTCTTTTTCTAATTGCAAACTATCGGCGAGAGACGTGATTTCTTGAGCTGACGGTTTTGGTTGTTTGTGGAAGTGTTGTTCTAGCGCACCTTTTACCGAGACTTCTATACTAGTGCGTTTTTTCCTTTTTCTACCCTGTGCTGCTATTTTGTCTATAGACGTGGGTGATCCCGTTGTCGAATCGGCCTCTTCGAGCCATTTTTGTAACAGGGGTTTTAACTTGCACATATTTTTGAAACTAAGCTGCAAAGCCTCGAATCTACAAATTGTTGTTTGAGAAAAGACATTACCATAAAGTGTTCCTAATGCTAACCCGACATCTGCTTGGGTAAATCCTAGTTTAATGCGTCGTTGTTTGAATTGTTTTGCGAAGGCTTCTAAATCATCACTCGTAGGCGTCTCGTCTTCGCCTCCGCTAACGTCTCTCTCGGAATGCTGCGGATGATGCGGACTTTGCATATCTCTATGTAGAGAATGATGTAAAGGGGGTGCCGCTTGATGATGAGCTAACATACCGTTCATAGCAGCGTGATATTGCTGAAGAGGAGATCCAGCACCACCTGGATTGTAATGCGCCGAGGAAACGGGCCCGTGCCAAGCATGAGGAGATCCCATACTTTGTTGTTGCTGTCTCTGATGATGCATCATATCAGCAGATTGTGTTAAGGGTTTGACGTCTTGGTGGTGATGATGGTGAGGGTGGTGCATACCTGCCATGGAGGCCGTCCAAGGATCTGCTCCAGGTTGCAAACTGACCCATGGATTCGCTGATAAGGATACCGCCGTGTGGCCGCTAGGCGACGGCGAACTAGCCATATGATGGTGATGGTTGTGGTGGTGTTGCGGCAAGTACTTCATTTCGTTAGCGTCGGCTGCAGACCTCGGAGAGGCACTAGAATGATAACCCGCGACAATATTCATCCCAACGACGTTTCCTTCAAGATCTGTCGTGACTGCACTGCTGGCCGGTAGGTATGTAGTGGCCGCCATGCCCTGTAAGGGCCGTTCGTCCACACTGTCCTCGTGTTCGTACACTTTGCACTGTTTTCGTCACTTGATCAACATAAAAGCACCCACTTGTAGTTACTAAACACTCGTGCCAACGCTACTGAACAATTGTTTTTATTTCGCGGCGACGCGATTTAGAACAAACTGCTTACTTATGACCAGATGTGATTCGTTATGCATATCAGACAACACGCACGCGACCCTCTTAGTATTACTGACTGTGTGTGTAGATTGGGAAACTGGTAGTCTCACCGTCCAATCCGCCCCACCACGCATTCCCCTCTTCGTCGTGAGAGAGTGCGCGCGCCATTGGCACTCCTAGGTTCTAATTGAAATGTGACATCATAACTGTAGCGTAATCTATTGGCCGAAGACGCGGGCATACCGCCTCCGTTCGTTCCCTTCCACATAGGGGAAGTGTTTACACTTCACGGGGTTTAGTCTCCAAGCAACCGACTGTGCAGAGTTCATATACGTATACCGATATGGATACAAAACATGACCGATATCTCGTTGTTTTAGTGGACTGTGAAAACTTTTGGCTACATTACTTTTATGGTTTCATTTTCGACTCGGACAAAAAGATTATTTCATAAACAATATCCGATTTTATCTTTATCTATCCATTTAAATTTTATTCCGTACATTATTGGTCTATTGTACCTATATTAATGCTTTCTATAATTCTTACATCTATCTATATTCTAATCAATAAATGTTTATTTACTTCTTGTTATAAAATATAAATCAATATCACAATATGCTTGTACAGTAAAATAAAAGTACTATTTAATTTAAAGTTGAATATTTCCTAAAAGTAAATAATTATTGTTAGCAAATAATTTCCTAAAGCACCAGAGGCTGTGCATAGGAATTACACTCGTCTATACCGTTCAAATAATTCTTCCACAGTACTATCAGCTTGATATTATATTGATTTTAAATAAAATTTGATAAATATAAGGGCACATGTATGCGATAAACTTTTTTGATGAAGAATTTCATTTTACAGAATATCACATCCAAAAATTTTGTTTTCAATTTTAAAATCCAATTTTAAAATTGTTTTATCACGTTGAATGATTTGGTTTTTCTTATATTCACTTTAATTAATATAATTTACATTATAAAATCGTCGATTGAATTCGATAAGTCAGAAAACTATTTTTATCTATTGAAAATGCTATAAAATAAATTTTATCAACAATAGCTCTTACAATTGTTCTGTATTGTTCTTACAATGGAAAAGGAATATAATAACACGCTACCTTTCCTAGATGTTTTAATCTCTAAGAACGATACTGGATATGAAACTCAGGTGTATAGAAAACCAACATACACCAATAGATATTTAAATTTCAAATCAAATCACAATATTAATGTAAAAAAGGGAATAATTAAATCCTTATACGATAGAGCCAAAATTACTTGTTCTAACGAAAATTCGTTCTTGGAGGAGAAACATTTGTTAACATCTATTTTATTAAAAAATTATTATCCTTTATCGTTTGTAAATAAGGAATTTTCAACAATCGATCGAATAGAACAGAACAACTTAGAACGAGATCCTACAGCATACACAAGGAATAATACGAGGAAAATAACAATACCGTACATAAAAGGATTATCAGAAAAACTTAAAAGGATAGGAAATAAATTCAACATTTCAACAACATTCAAAACAACAAACACGTTGAGATCTATTTTGTCCAAAATCAAACCTAACAATGAACAAGAAAGGACAAAGAATTGCATTTATAAAATACCTTGTGAATGCGATCAGTTTTATTTAGGTGAAACATCAAGGCCATTAAATGTTAGAATAAGTGAACATCAATCTTATATTAAAAATAGAGAATTTGATAGATCTCAAATATGTAATCACGCATGGGATAATGAACATAGGGTTCAATGGAATAATTCAAATGTAGTCCTAAAAGAAACGGATGGTAAAAAAAGAAAAATCAAAGAAGCGGCTCTAATTATGCTCAATGAGGCCAATTGTGTCGCAAATTCCTCGGTATAATGTAGTAGGATCTGGTTACCAATATTGAAAGAGGAAGTTATTAATAAGAAAATACCAGTACTGGTAAGTCAGTAACATATACAGGATACATCATTTATGTTTTTTAAATAACGAAACATATAAAATCAGAATTTTGGTGTTTATTGAAGGTAAACTTAATGCACGAACAAATACTGTAATGTCGGGATAGTATTATGAGGTTTTTTTCCTGGTTTTTCCCTCATAATTTACTATGGAATCACTAACAGGAGAATTTTACTGTCATCATGTCATGTGTTTGTCTTTTTAAAGACGAATTACATGCTATGATTTTTTTCTGACGGATATTCCTCAAGTTAAAGTTGATTTCATGTAATCGAATGAACTATCTTATAAGTAAAGTCGTCCCAGGAGCGCAACTCAACAATATTGGCAATATCATTTTAAAGTCGTCTACTTTAAAATGCATAATGTATGTCTGAATTGTCAATATAAATGAGTCAGATAAAATTAAATTATTAGAAGAATTTTTCACTATGTAACAAAAAACAAAATTTGTTTAATTTACTGTTTGTATTTTGAGAACGATTTCTGAAGTGGAAATTGAAACGTCAATAAACGTATTTTTATCTTTAATTGTGGCTTATTTCCAGTTAAATAGTAATTAATAGCTCTTACAATTTCACGTTGTGTTAATTTTTTTCTTAGAAATGGATAGAAGTGTAGAAGATAGCTATACCTATCATTAGCTAAACAAATAATCTTGCCATTTATTGTCATTACTTCTAAATCATTCATATATACTGAAAAAATTATCTAAGGATCTAAAACAGTACCTCGAGGCACACCATACTCAATATCTTTTTCGACACTTAGGTACCTTCTTATTAATTTTAATAATTTTCAAACTATTTTTTAAATATTTGATAATACATTTTTCTGTTTCAACTTCTTCTCTTAAATTTTCTTTATCTAGACTTTTTCCTAATGGATTACAAAGAACAAGATGTTTTTCTTAGTCATCTCACACTAAGTCTTATGATATGAGATTGGCGATCTGCAACGTACCATTTTAACCGTTCAATTTTGGTTTATACATTAATTTCGGGATATTTTTCTCTGAAGAATCTATTTATGTTGTAACAATCTTCATCATAAACAGCTATTCTATCTATTGTCGGATCTAATACTCCCTTATTGATGTGTCCATTCGTTGTGAAAGTTTTAGCATCCATTTGTGACTAAAAATTCCTCCCCCAATAGAACCATTTGCTTTAAGATCTACCTCTTGTTTCTATGGTATATTTTTGGTCACCATTGTATAACCATTGTCATCATAGTACTATTACCAAGGATGCTAAAAATTGCACAATTTTTTTTGTATCTTATTTATCATATATGGCAATTAGACTTCTTTTATATAATTATACAACTTTCGAAGATTACACAAAATTTTTCTTCTACTTTTCGTGTATTTCAACTTTTCGTCCAAACATTACTGCTCCATAGCAGATGGATATTTGACCTATTTGAAACGAAAAATCTGAAACATAAAATTTTAAGAGGCTTTTAAAAAAGAAGTGCCCAGTTAACCAGAAAAATTGAAAATAAAAAAAATAACAGCACATTTGAAAAACTATTCAAAAATTGACCTTTTTTCAACTTTTTTTAGTATTGTTTTAAATTAATATGCTTTAAATTTTTATTTATCCATTTTTTTTGTCAAATTGTGCTAAACTATCTTGGAGAAAATGAAAACAAACAAAATACATCAAGGTTTATTAAAATTGGCCGACTATATCCGGAGATTAAAGATTACGTTTCGCTCTTACCGTCAATTTTTGAACAGTTTTTTTTAAAGTCCGCCATTTTGTTTTTTTAAGAATTTTCAATTTTTCTGGTAAAATATCTCACGTAAGGGTACTTCTTTTTAGTCTTCTCGGATTTTATATTTCAGGTTTGGCGTTCCAGAGGTTAACTGTCCGCACTAAAAGGTGTACAATACTATAAAAAAAAGTTTGATTGCCATATATATTAGATAAGATACAAAAAAAATTGTTGAAAATTTTTTTAGTAGCATTCTAGATCGTAATAGTCCCTTAACGGTCCCCTTGTCTATCAGTTCTCTTTCATTCTTCCTAATATTCAGCCCAGTTCTATTGAAAAATTGCCATTGTTTAGGTATTATTGCATCGCAATTATGGTATTACGTATGTGATCTTGTACCTTCATTTTGAGCATTCTATGTTCCATGTCACACACCTGGCGTGTATAGATTATGCTGTTATTAAAACCTACGTTTTGGTTCTCTACGTTAGGACTAGCTCCATTCAATTTAAAAATTTTGTAGCACTTCTGCTTGATGCTGATCAAGTTAAGTAAGATCTGCTCTTCAAACCGGCGCAAATAATGATGCAACAGAGTGCATAAACAGTGTAACAAATCTTCCCAATTATTTACATAAAAATTAAATTATTTATTGTGTTCAATAAAAGCAGTCTTCAACATAAAGAAAATAATAATAATTTAAATGAAATTCAAAATGATAAATTTTTATAAAAAAGAAGTGCAAAAAGGCTTACACAATCGTAAGCTAGATTGGGAATCATTATAAAAAGAATATTAAACTTATTTTTCAAGCAAATAAGACTAGAACCTTGGCAATAAAGGTTTAAAAAATAAAGTAACTAAATTGTAGAAACAAAATGCTTTCATCAAAAATAAAGTTGAATGTTTACAAAAGATAGAAAAAATAAAACATAGATCGAACATTTTTGATCTTGATTCAATTAACAATCTGTGTAACATCGGTAATCTTGATCAAAAACTTTTAAATCTAAGTGAATTGATGTCACAAATCATTTAAGATTCTATACTATAAAACACAAGATAATATTTAACAAAAAAA